TCAAAAGGCGAACAGGACGCAGCAGGGCAACCGCAACACAAGAGTGATCGTAGACACCTTCAACACGACCAACACTATCACCATTACCATCAAGATCGCGATCACAGTCATCTTGAACATCACCATAATCATTATCGGCAGCCAGACTTCTGGGTTGGGGAGAAGGTTTTGGCTCCCAGCTCAGCTCCGGGTTCCTGCCTGGGCCCACTTCAGAAACCCAGAAGCCCAAAACCTTTGAGTCTGCCAAATCCGATTGCCCTACATCCGGTTTAGGGTTCAGGGCATATCCCTACCCCAAGAGAGTTATAAGTGTGGTTTTAAGTAAGGTAACCACAATTATGACCCTTTCTAGGGGACTTATTGTCCCACTTTTAACTACGTATGAACCCCAAGTATTTCCAAAATCCGATGGCCCTGAATCCCTGCGACCCGAAACACCTACACCAACAGAAGCCGACAATGCCTTAGCTAGATTGTTTAGATGCGGGGTTGCGGGTTTGCTGCAGGTAAAAAACATGTCCCACAACAGCTTCGACGCAATTGAGTTTGGGAGAGAAGAGAGAAGGGTTTAGGGTTCCATGCTTACTTGGAGGTCCATGGGCAGTTACAAGTGGGGTTACATGTAGGGTAACCATAATTATAACCCATATTAGGGGACATAAAGCCCCACCTAAAATTACCCATGAACCCCACAATCCTAAACCCTACAGAACCTTTAACGGAACCCTCGACCCTCATAACTTAAAGGAACACCCTAAGTAGGCCCTTCCTACAGTGCCGTGGCCTGGCATGCTGTTTTTGCTTATTATGCTTCGGCTCGCGCGATCGGCGGTGATGGTGGTGGCAGGAACTGCTGTTGTTCTGATCACTTTAGGGTGGTTGTCAAAATTAGGTCCCTTTGGGGGTCCTTATTATAATATGGCACCTATTACTTAGGGTACCCAAAAAGGGACCATAATCTTGACAACCACCCAATATGGTGGGAAGCTGTTATGATTAAGGTGATTAAGGTTCATGACCAGTGATATCACTATGAAGGCTGCTCCTGCTTTGCTGCTATTTCCTTTGGCGTGCTCTGCGCTGACGGCCAGTCCTCCCCCTGCTTCGGTACTGGCGCATAGATCGCCGGGCAATCAGTGTTCACGGCCTTGACCCTGACCTGCCAGACTCTCGGGCTCATCTAATTGGAGGTTCATGGGTAGTTATGAGTTGGGTTGTAAGTCCCTAATATGAGTTATAATTATGGTTACCCTACTTGTAATGAACCTCCAGTAAGATGGTATGGGCCTGCAGGCAAAGTGGTCTCTTCTTGTTCTTTGCCTTGTCTTGGTCCTCAACATGGTCAACAATGCTCTGGCTGCTCTCTGTGAAGATCTTCCAAACGATTACGCCAGCCACACTTGAAATCGAAAATCAAACAAGGCACACAGCCTTCCGACTGACCTCAAAGAATCCGAAGCCCAAGCCGTCTGGAGCCCAAAGTCCTCGAACCTGCGCCCTCCCAAGTACCCGAACCCTCGACTGGAATCTGGAAACCCTGAAACGATCAAACGCCAAGTCCTGAAAGGATCATCATCTCCGAAAACGACAACTTGGAACAGAGTGTTGTTTGTATCTTTGAACATTTGGGAAAACTGCAGGACATAATCGAAGGCTGCTAAGTAAACAAAACATCCGACTTGAAAAAACATCGCAGCTTTCAGACTGCCCAGGCCAACCGCCCCGGACCGGAACTCCTGCAACCGTCAAACTCCAAACCCCCTCAGCACCCCAATGAGCCCATGAAACCATCCTAAATCCACAAAGCCCGAAGTCCCTGATGCCCAGCACAGGCCTGTCCCGCATCTGGCGCCTCAGAGCAGATGGCGCTCACCCGCGCCACCAAGCCTCAGAATAGCAAGGACAGGACAAGGCAAAACAGCAACCAGAACGTGCTTACCACCATGTTCACTGCCATCAATTCTTTTCACTATCACTGCAAAATACTACTGACGGCAACAGGCAACAGGCTGCTTCTACCACAATTACCGCCGTTGCCACCAGCACCCTCACGGCTGCTGCTACTTCGACTGCTGCTGCCACTGCTACGCTGCTGCTACTCCTACACTGCAGGATTTAGCATTCGAGGTCGCAGACAAATGCGGCGAGCAGGGGCATTAGAGTAGCGTTCCTTTAACGGGGTCCAGAAGGCTACTATAAGCGCTATTCTAAGGAGTTACTATGCTTATAGACCCCTCTGTATAGAAACCCTATTCTGATTCTTGAAGCCCCTCTAGTAGGCCCTTTGGGGTTCAGTGGCCGAGAGGGGGCTCTCGGTGTCGAGCTGGGGGCCTTCATCTCGCGTTTTGGGGCTTGAGGGGTTTAGGGTTTAGGGGTTAGGGTTTTGGGTTTAGGGTTTAGCGTCATTAAAGACTGTACCTACTTTACGGTTCATGGGTAGTTAGAAGTGGAGTTTCGGGTTCCTTCAAGGGTTCTCTATAGGGTTTAGGATTTAGGGTTCTCTCAAGGGTTCTGTAGGGTTTAGGGTTCAAGGGTAGTTAGGAGGGGGGTTATAAGTCCTCAAATATGGGTTACAAGTTTGGATACTGTACTCACAACCTCACTTATAACTACCCATGAACCTCCAAGTGGAGGAAGCAGAAGCTCGGTATAGGGTTCAGGGTTCAGGGCGTAGGGAGCTTAAGGTTACAAGGCTCTTCCCGATCCTCGGAACCGAGAAGCACACAAAGAGCCATCCTCTCGATGGGCTCATCGTCGCGGCCCACGTGGAGAAGCTGAAATCTCCTCAGAGCATCCGGGAGTTCGGTCTCTCCTGTCTAAACTGGGAATATGGTTTCTTTAAGGGTTCCTTTAAGGGTTCCTTTAAGGGTTCCTTTAAGGGTTCCTTTAAGGGTTACTACAAGGGTTATACTATAGGGGCTTAGGGTTCGTAGTAGGCTCCCTGGTGCTTCGTAGGGAATGGGGGAATGGATGATGGGACTACAACTCGAGATTATATAGGGACTACTATGAGGATCCATTCCTACACTCACCCCTAATAAGGACCCCTAGGTATATAACCTAAATATTGCTACTATATACCCATTATATAGCCCATTTTAGGGTTGGGGTCCCCATTAAGGGTCCCACCTTTTCCCCTTTGATACTAAGCACCGGGGAAGTCTAATGATTCTAATGCTCGTGACACCTACCGGACATACCTGATCCGGAAAAACCGCGCTGCGATGAACCGAATCCTTCGACCTCAAGCCCAAACCCTGAACCCCCAAGGTTTAGGGGTTTAGGGGTTTAGGGTTTAGGGGTTTAGGGTTTAGGTTTAAGGTTTAGGGGTTTAGGGTTTAGGTTTAGGGTTTAGGGGTTTAGGGTTTAGGTTTAAGGTTTAGGGGTTTAGAGTTTTGGGTTTAGGGGTTTAGGGTTTAGGGGTTTAGGGATTAAACCCCACATCCTAAGCTTCTGAACTTTGTTAAACTTTAAACGTCAAAGGCTCGAGGTGTTGAGCTTAGGAATCGTCTTGCCTCTCAGCCAGCAATTCAGCAGGTCGACACCATGGCAATGTCTGGCTTTAGGGATTTGATTCTTCAGGAACTCGACAGATATTAAAGCTTCCTAGTACGTGTAAAGTGCAAAGCGTAGCTGTGCAAGTGCCTCGAACAATCAGAACACAGAGGGTGAGGTCTGTTATGCAAGCAGTCTGCAGTACTGGTGAAACGGGCGCCACAGGGATTCGAGCCAAACGGCGCGCACATGCTGCGGTTACCCACACACAACAGGGGCCGAACCGAAGCTTAGGCTTGGGCCTGAAGCTCCGATAGAAAACTGTTGGCCAAGGGCGTTTAGGGTTTAGGGTTTTAGGGTTTAGGGTTTAGGGTTTTAGGGTTTAGGGTTTAGGGTTTAGGGTTTAGGGTTTAGGGTTTAGGGTTTTAGGGTTTAGGGTTTAGGGTTTAGGGTTTAGGGTCAAGACTGGTCGGGTAAAAAGGTCGAGTCCTACACCAAACAACCCTGCCAACAGACTCACACCGACATGACCCATCCTCGCCCAGAAACTAGCGCTGAGACCTCACTTTCATCGCGAGCCTCCGGGTGTCAAAGACCTCAATGCCTTTCCGTCTGGACAAACCCTAAACCCTAAACCCTAAACCCTAAACCCTAAACCTAGCTTGTCTGATCTGCACCAGGGTTGCAATACTCGAGCTAACAACTGCATTTTACTGGGCTTGTCACACATCAGATCCCAACAGACTGCTGCTCTCATGGAGATGCACAGTCGCCAGAGCAAAGTCGCGAGAGCCTGATGCCACAAAGCATGCTAGTACATGTTGCTACCGTCTAGTCTTCGATGTTGTAGTGACGAGCTAAGACCAACTGTTGAAACTTAGACGTGCCAAAAGGTGCTGCCGCCGCATAATCGCTTCAATTGCAAACGTTTCTCCTACCCTAAACCCTAAACCCTAAACCCTAAACCGACCGCCCGGACTTGCACACAGCATGCATTCCCCCTCGCACGATCTGCCGGAAAAATCTCGCACGCCCTTTCCAGGTGCTGCGGGGGAGCGCTGCACTCGTCAGAAACAGGCGCGTCTTCCTCCGTAGGGTCATGGGACCTAGTAAGTAAGGTTATAAGTACCTTAATTGGGGTTATAAGTATAGTTACCCTAATTATAACCGTAGTTACTAAGTCCCATGATCCTTGAAGTAGGGTCATGGGACTTGAATTGCACTCTTTGGCGATGGTGCTGAAGCACATGCCTGAGTTCGGCCTCCGGGGGACGGACACCATAGAGCACATGTCAACACTACTGGACCAGCAATGCCGAGTTTCGCTGGTGTGCAACAGATGTGTCCGAAGCTGTTTCCGTTTCGCGAAACTGCTCCTACTATGCTTGGCTAGTCGCTCACAGCCCACCCATGCAAGACGCTCGGGCGCGTGGATGGCTCCCAGTAGGCTTTTCTTGTGCATCCCAAAAGATGCACGGTACACAGGGTTGCTTTCTGGCCACTCTTCACTGCAAGATTTCAATGGCTCCAGTCTTCGTTGGGTTGGAATCCAGGGAGTAGACGACTCGAAACACGTATCCGTTGTAAGTCTTCATCTCAGGGAGCTGATGTTGCCTGGCATATTCGGCCATTGCCACGAAGACATCTTCACGTGCAGCTTTCACACTGTCCAAGAGACCCTGCTTGTACAGGTGCTTGCGCACTGCATCATCCTTGCGAGCTACCTCCCATTGTCCATCTGTCAAGTGCGACAGAAAAGCGTGTCGAAGCTTTTCCTCAACCTCTGCAGCAGTGTCAGTAGCAGCGGGAAGCGCATCCAGGTTCTTCCGCAAGTTAGACTTGTTTTTCGGGGCGTTCACGAAAACCAGCATGGCCTCTCGCACGTCTGCATTCATAGTGTCGTCCACATACCCGAGCTTTCTTAAAGCCTGGGACACCAATGTCGTGGAGTCGTTAAGCAGGAATGGACCCCCGCCCTTGAAGACTTGCCTTGATGCACGATTGCCGAACTTGCTGAGCTGCGTTTTGGTTGGCTTTTGTGCTGCGGATTTCGGCAGGAAGAACGCCATGTTGCCACCATACTTCTTCCATGTTTTTCCACCACCGCCCTGCATTTGCTTCAAGACCTGCGGGATGCAAACATGAGCAGGGAACACTGTGATCGATCCTAACCCATTGTTGAGCCAGAACTTTGCCACTGCGTGAATCCACTTTTCCCTCTCCGGATTTGACAGGTAGCCGAGCTTATGCAAAAAACCCTCGCAAGCGTGGGCAATTTCAGCATCGTACCAAGGAGGACACGGGTCGTCCAATTGCACGTCCCCACTGCCATCTTGATGCAAAATTGCACGCACTCTCGCGAACGCGGACACCCGCGGCTGCAGCTCTGTGACGTCCACCCCGACACGCCGATAGCGATCAATGAGAGTGGGAAGGTTTGATGTCACGAAAACCGATACCTGCTTGCCATCGCTCATGGCCTTCATAATGGCATCTGCGTGATCGAAGTCAGAGATCAGGAGCGCCACGCTTTGTTCAGCGTTGCTGTTGCGGAGCGCCTTGTCGATCTCCGCATCATTAGCTTCTCCAACTCGGCTAGAGTTGCGTTCGACAGGCTGCAAGGTGATCCTTGGATCTTGTAAGAACTGGCTCCATCTCTTATTATCGTCACGACCAGGCGGTGCAAAAACGGTTGTGTGCACCTTTCTACCAGACTTCTCCAGCTGTGTGATGACGTCCTCGATTTGTTCAATACTGTGACTATCTGCATCCACTAGGAGCCTTGTAGCTCCCAGGTACCTCGTAGCTCCCATGTCACGGCTCGGCGTTGCTTTACGTTTGCACCTGGAGCCTCTGGCACGAAGTGCCTTGCATGATACGGTTGCGAAGACCTCAGTCAATCAAGACACAAGCACTGCACAGGCAAGACGACGGCAACTACAACATACATAAAGACACACAAGGCGTAAAGTTTGCGAAGGAAAGCAAGGAACCAGCCAGCAGGCTATAGACCCACGATGAACTGGCGATCCGCATGAACTGTCCCCAGCTAGCCGACAGCCAAAATTTGACGGCCGCTTACCAAAACGCTGATTCCAAGTCTGTGAGGCCCATGGATCAGGTCTGCAGGTTCGGCCTTGCGAAAAGCTGCCATACTAGGGGTTGTCTACTTGGAGGTTCATGGGGAGTTTTAAGGGGGGGTTATAAGTAAGGTAACCATAATCATAACTCATGTTGGGAGACCTTTAGCCCCACTTATAACTACCCAAGAGCCTCCAAGTAGCACCTTGCGTGTGTCTGAAGGGTTGGGAGGCCTTGGGCACTTGGGGTGTCAAGTCAAGGGCTCAGCTGCCTGGGTTTAGGGTTTAGGGTTTAGGGTCATGGGTGCTTACGCACTTTAGCAAAGATTAAAGCCTGAACTCATGATCCTAAACACCTTGCGCCAATGGGTCCTCGACGGTTTCGGGTATGTGGATCTTCAGACGTCCGAGGGCCGCACCGAAGACTTCGGGAAGACGCTTGCTTTGCTTTGGTTTACTTAAAGGATCATGGGAGCTAGTGAGTAGGGTTATAAGTAAGATAACTATACTTATAACCCCAGTTGAGGTATTTATAGCCTTATGTACTAAGTCCCATGATCCTCCAAGTGGGGTCTGGCTTGTGAGTTGCCGGTTTAAGTTTGACGGTTCGGGGTTTAGCCTAAACCCTAAACCCTAAACTCCCAAACGAGTCGCAGGCTTCCCCAGCACCTTAAGCCCCAAAGCCCTGCAACCTCGGAAGGACTCGAGAGTCAGGGTTTGGGGCTTAGGATTCCTCGACCTCTGCAATCTACACCCTCAGCTCTACAGGGTGTCCTGACTTAAGCGCCCTTAGAGAAGCACTACAAAATATGTATTCGATATTTGTATGGGAAGCTCTTTGTAATCAATATGAGAATAATTCTGAAGCTACTGGGATCCCATGACTTCTGCTTGGAGGTTCATGGGTAGTTGTAAGTTGGAGTTACAAGTAAGGTAACCGAAATTAACATCCATATCAGGGGCCTTATAACCCCACCTTCGACTTCCCATGAACCTTCAAGTGGTCTGCATTCGCGACTCCTCAGCTTCTGAAGTCTCCCCAAGAAGCCCAAGGCTCTTTCAATCCTAAGGCCTGTACAGTAATCCAAACCTAAACCCTGTACCCTGAAACGGTTTAGGGTGTAGGAACCCCAAAACCCCAAGCTGCAAGCATGTCACGACCGCTTGGCGTCGAGCCGAAAGTGCGCCCACGCAGGCAGGTCTCCTGAGGGAATGGCGGGAATAATCGCAGCAAGAAGAGAAACGTGCTACAGCAGCAGTCACCAGAAGCACGAGCACGATCCGAATCACAAGCACACCTCACAGTCACATATACAATGCAAAGGCAACATGCAACAAGGGTTTGTGGCCGTCAAAACTTGAATAGGACCGGTCCAGTCAATATTACTCCGTCCTCAACATGGCAAACAATCTTCCTACTGCATATGGTAAGCTTCCTAGAGTCCTAGAGTTACTACTTGGGTCGAGTGCCACCACCGCTACTTGTTGGTGTTGCTATCACTACTGAGTTCTGGGCACTGTCTGTCAAGATCTTCTGCTCTTGCTAGTGGTGCTGCTACGGTGAACAAACTCCAAAGTAATGCTCCGACAGCTAGAGCTGAAGCGATGACCAAACAAGGTACACAGCCTTCGAACTGACCTCACAAAATGCCACAAAGCCCAAAGTCCTGGAACCTCCGCACTCTCAAGTACCCGAACCGTCGATGAGATCTGGAAGCCGCAGAAGCCCGTGAGGTCCAGGAAACCCTGCCAATGGACCCTCCAACAGCGAAATCCTGAAGGGATCATCAACTCTCCACCCCGAAATCTTGCTACAGAGTGTTGCTTCTATCCTTTCAAAATTTGGGAAAGCTGCAGAACACAATCGAAGCCTGCTAAGTAAACAAAAAATCCGACTTGAAAGACAGCGCAGCTTTCAGACTGCCCAGGTCAAAACCGAACCCCGAACCTTTTCTCCTGCAACCGTCGAACTCCAAAACCCCTCAAAACCCCCACAAGCCCCCGAAACCATCCTAAGTCCGCAAGCTCGAAGTCCCTGATGTTCAGCACAGGCCTGTCCCGCATCCGGCGCCCTAGAGCAAATGGCGCTCGCGCGCGCCACCAAGCCTCGGAATATCAAAGAACAAAACAAATCAAAACGGCAACTAGAACATGCTTAGGGCTTGATGTATATAATACTATATCTATAAAAAGGAACCCCAAGAACCCTATTCCAGTAATTAAGGCCCGTGTATGACCTCCATGTTCACTCCTATCACCACTACCACTACCACTGCCACTGCCACTACCACCACTACCACTACCACTACCACTACCACCACCACCACTACCACTACCCCTACCACTACCACTACCACTACCACTACCACTACCACTACCACTACCACTACCACCACCACTACCACTACCACTACCACTACCACTACCACTACCACTACCACTACCACTACCACTACCACTACCACTACCACTACCACCACCACTACCACTACCACTACCACTACCACTACCACCACCACTACCACTACCACCACCACCACCACCACGACCACCACGACTACTACTACTAATACTGCCACTACTAGCATTCGAAGAGGCAGTACGAGCAACAGAAGCAAGTCACGCGATGTTTAGGGGCTGAGGGCCTCTCCGGTGCGCGGAGTCGCAAAGCCTCAAGGCTTTCTACGGCTTACGGCTTTTGGTTTCGGGTTTCTGGTCTAGAGGGTTTAGGGTTTATGGTTGGGGTTTAGGGGGTGTTGGGACGGAAGCCTTCGTCTCGGCCGAGATGCATAAAAAAAGCCATCCTCTTGATGGACTCATCCTCTCGGCCCACGTGGAGAAGCGGAAGTCTCCTCAGAGCATCCCAGACTTACGTGGTCTGCAAAGCCGCGCTGCGTTGAACCGAATCCTTTGACCTAAAGCACACGCCCTAAACTTAGGCCTAAACCCTAAATTCTGAAGTTGATGTAAGAGTCAAAGGCTCGAGGTGTTGAGCTTAGGAATCGTCTTGTCTCACAGCCAGCATTTCAGCAGGTCGACACCATGGCAATGTTTGGCTTTAGGGATTTGAGACTATAGGCACTCGGATGACTAGAGCTTCCTGGGACAATGCATCGCTTTGACAAACCTGGAAGACATAGTTGTGTCTCTAAGACGTCTGCGGTATTTCTGAAACGGTACTGCGAGCCAAAGTGCCGTGCAGCGTGAGCGCATGCGGTTCCTTTCTTCTCTATCTGCGGAGAGTTGAAGACCCGGGGTTGAGGGTTTCGAGGCCTTCGGAGATAGGACCCCGACTTTCAGGCCTCACTTGTAAGGCAAGAGCTCGAGTTGTACAGCAAGGAACACAAGCCACCATAAGCAAAGTAAGGCTACAGGCATTTGGACTCCTCGCCGGTCTATTTTGCAAGGACCATACGGATTACTATCAACATTACTACAGCGGGTTCCACAAGGCGTACCATCAGGGGTACTCTCCGCCTTCGTTGCTATTCTGACTTTCTCTTATTCACGCGTTTCTCGCAGACCAGCTAACGAGCGACGGCAGATCTGAATAAACTGCATCCTCGATAGATCCCGTATGTGAGTCACAAAACGAACGAGTAACTTATACATTTTACTGCTGTCGGTTCTTGATGGATGCTTGGTCGCTCTGCATGATTCGGTGCCCCCGTATCATTGTGCCAGTCTGACTGACGGTCCTAACGAAAAGCTAAATGCGTACATGACTGCGACATATCTGCGGCTTTTCCTTCTGCAAGACCACGCAGGCTTCACCGCATGTTCCGCCAGCAGAACCTCGCACTCTGTAGCCCAGGTCTGCCAAGCACTCTTGAGAAACAGGGCAGGTCTTCTTTAGCCGGACCCCATCGAGCAAATGCACACCTGCAACACACGATGCCGAACTTCACAGTGCTGCCTGAACTATATGCCGGGAGACTCCTTCTTAACAAAGCTACTTCGATGCATGATTCATCAGGTCTCCAGAAGAAGGCGCCGGCATGGTGCTGGGGTTCTTGCGATACACCAACAACGAACCTCAACAAATCAAAACTACGTGAGCGCGACGGCTTCATCTAATCGCCACTCTGTCTGATCTCGATGGCTCCAGTTTTCGTCGGGGAGGAGTCCATGTAGTCCATGAGGCGGAACACATACCCGTTGTAGGTTTTCATTTCGGGGAGCTGGTGTCGCCTAGCATACTTGGCCATTGCGCGAAAAACGTCTCTGCGTGCTGAATTCACGTCGGCCAAGAAACCGAGCTTGCAGAGGTGTGCCCGTATTTGGACATCCTTGGGGGCCACGCGCCACTGTCCATTCGTCCTGTGCGAGAGAAATGCATACCGGAGCTTATCCTCCACCTCTGCGGCTGTGTCTGTTGGGGAGGGAAGAACATCCAGTGGCTTCCGCAGGTTATACTTGTTGGTCGGAGCATTCACGAACACGAGCATGGCCTCCTGCAGGTCTGCGTTCATGTCGTTGTCCATGTACCCGAGCCTTCGCAAAGCTTGGCAAACTAGATCTGTGGAGTCATTCAGCAAGAATGGGCCACCACCCGAAAAGATCTCCTTTGAAATGCCCGTGCCAAACTCCCCCATCTGCTTCTTTGTCAGCTTCCTTCGTGAAGTTTTGGGTAAGAAGAACGCCATATCACTATCATACCTCCTCCATTTCATATTGCTACTCTTCCGCATCTGCTCCAAAACTTGGTTCATGCCGATTTGCGCTGGAAATACAACTGTCGAGCCCAACTCGTTCGTGACCCAAAACTTGGCCGTAGATTGGACGAAATACTCTTTGTCCCTGTCCCCGGTGGCCAAGAAGCCAAGGTCAGCCAAAAAAGATGTGAAAGCATCCACAGTATCCTCATCATGCACGAAGCTGTATGGATCGTATGGGTCACTCAACTGCACATGCCCACTGCCATCTTGATGCAAGAACGCACGTACCCTGGGCAGCGCGGACACCCGGCGATGCAGCCGTTGGACCTCCACCCCGGCACTCTGATAACGAATGATAAGTGAAGTCTTTTTTGATGGAACAAAAACCAAAACTCTTTTGCTAGCATTCATCGCGTCCTTAACAGCCTCTACATAATCGTAGTCGGACGTCAGGAGCGCCAAGCTTTGGTCATTGGCACAGGTCCGGATCGCTCTGTCTATCACAGCATCGTTAGCTTCTGCAACTCGGCTTGAATTCCGTTCCACCGGTTGGAACATGATCCTGCGACGTTGGAACAACTGGTCCCACCTCTTGTTCTCGATGCGACGAGGCTCTGCAAAAACGGTTGTGTACACAGCTCTGCAGGTCTTCTCGAGCTCTTTGATTACGTCCTCTATTTCTTCAACACTATGTATATCTGCATCCACGAGAAGCCTCGTAGATCCTGAAACGGGGCTTGACGATGGTTTACGCTTGCACCTGCAGTGTCTGCCGCGAGTTGCCGTACGCGAGACGGATGCAAGGACCTTGGTCACGGAAGAACACATCCCTATATAGGTAGTGATGATGGCTCTGCCAGCCATTGAAACACACAGCTCTTCTCAAGAAACCGAAGCACGAAACAGGAGGTGACAGAGCCGTAGTTGATGGGCAGTCCAGCCCGTGGAGTGTCCCGAACCACATGCCACCCAGGACTTTGCTGCGGCTCGCCACAACAGTGATCCCGAACCTGCAGCGAAGTCTGTGGGCCGAGTCTATAGATGCGGCCTTGCGAAAGCTGCCATGCGGCTTTCATGTGGAATGGGACAACCCCAAGCACGTTGACCGTTGCGTACCTTCACTTTGACGTGCGACTTTCGCCCGACTAGCCGTGCACCACCGTAATGACATGTTTAGGTTTGCAAAATGCGGTTTTCAATTCATTTAACATGACTTCTGCAACTCGACTCCGACTGTGACACACCGTCTCAAAGCTGCCTGCGCTGAGGGCTGTGTGTTTACACGCCGAAACTGCGAATCGAACCCTGCCCAACAAGCCCAAGTGCCAACACTAAACATCTCGTCGCTCACCATCTACGTTCATAGCTCCGAAAGCCTGCAACGACCACCTTAGAATCCTGACAAGCTCGCTTACCAAAAAAGGTTGGAACACAACACGGTGACTCGGAACTGCAAGATGTCAGCACCCCGCCAAACTGACACGTTTGTGAGAAATGGATCGGACATCGGATGGTGAAAACAGACTCACCAGGTGAACACCTGCGAATGTAGCTTCACGTGGGAGTGTGCTCAACATGTGTATGCGTTTACGTATACACATATTTATATAAACGTCGCTGACACTGCTTCGGGGCCTCTCCACCCCAGGCGTTCTGCAAAATCTGGTTCATCTTCGTGGCGAATGCGAAAAAACATGAAAAAACTCTCAGTTGAAGATCAGAACTTTTTATCGCAACACACATTGGAGGGAGAAAGCAAATAAGTCGGTGAACCATGGGTGACGACAAGCCAAATTGGGTTTTGGAAGAAAGTTTTGAAAAGGCTCGAACGTGACAATTCATGGTCGAGGGGCTCGAGAAAAGGCTTGAAGCCTCTTCTGGAAGTCGTTGTTAAAGTTCTGCACGTCGAATTGAAGAAGGCTTCGAAGAGAGTTGACAATGGGCTTCAGAAGGCGGCGCTTTTAGGGAAAAATTAAAGAGAAATCTCAAGCTTCTCTGGATGCATTTCGTTCTGCTCATGCACAGTTGCAACCAGCTTCAAAAATTCAATCAATCGGTCAACGGTCTTCAACCTTGGACTTTGTGCCAATTAGCGGTCGTGTGCATGGCACATCATACGTGTCCAACCGAATGGAATGCAAGACAACGTTCGCAATGCACTGCTCGGCTCCAAGCTCCAGCCTTCTTTGTTGCGCAATCAGCGCAGAAAAGCATGTGGCTGCAGGCTGCATTTCTTCGCAAAATTCCAACGCCACACCCCTGACGAACGATTGGCGATTCCAAACGCCACATGCACTTTGAATGAACACACTGCCAAACGTCAGACGCCTTCTCCAGCACCAAAATGCACGAATAGACGAGCATAGGTTTTTGCAGTGTTCCGGAACCCTGGGTTCGAACACTTGGGAGGGCCCGGGGGGGGGCGGAGAACATAACACTAGAACTAGGGTTGAACCCCAAGTTCGAACATCTGGAAACGGAGTTGAACTCCGGGTTCGAACACAGTGTTCAAACTCCGAGTTCGAACACTGGCTGGAACCCCAAGTTCGAACACCAGTGTCAACCTCGAGTTCGAACACTGGTGTTCGATTTCCGGGTTCGAGCACTGGTCTGTAAAACGCTTTTACGAACACAAAAGAAGAAGCCACACGAAATCGCTTTATGGAGGCTTTTGGCAAAGAAAAAAAGAGAGAAGGAACATTCACCAGTGTTTGAACCCGAGTTTAAACACTGGGCGTTCGAACTCCAGCTCGAACACTGGTGTTCGAACCCTAAGTTCGAACACCAGTGTTCGAGCCTCGAGTTCAAACACTGGTGTTCGAACCCACTGTTCAAACACTGGTGTTCGAGAATACCCATCCCTGAACCTAGTAACCTCGTAGTTCATCTGTGCTCGAAGATCACATTCCCTCAAGCGCTCAAGCGCAGAAGGAGCTTGCCTGGAGATCCTACAGGCAATTCTCCGGTATTCCTTGTGGCCCCACTATGCCAACTCGAACGCTCAACTTGATCAAGCCTTCCCCTAAGCAACCGATTCTCCTCAATCACTTGCAAGAGCATTGCCTCTGGCCTCGAACCCTCAGCTGCCGCAGGCACCAAGTCTTCCGGCAGTGGTTTGTCCGGAGATTGGACAGCGCTGGTCAGCTAATTCGCCGAAGAACCCGCTTGATCCTTTCCAGCTGCTGGACCATACCCAACATTTTTTGGCGTGGGTGGCCTTGTCGACTGCGTCCGCAGCTCTCGGTCCCTGCAAGAAGCTAAGCAAGCGAAGAAACAAAAAGCTAGGCAACTGCACAGGAAGATACTCGAAAAAGACGATGCACACCATAGTGAAACGGCTGCGACTTGCAGACTTCGCGGCAGATATCGTTCAGCCCTTGTTATGCTTCAACTACTAAAGCCGCTCAGAAGCCCCGCTTTCCAGATAAACTGGGTAGCGCAATGGCGTGCACACGCATGTGGGACCATACCCGACAGAACCCTGGTCGTCCATCGACTTCCATGCTGTCTTCAGCGGCAACCGATTTCCCGACACATCCTCAGCTCGGTCTTCGCGTACACTGCCCGATCAAGCTTGCGTCACCAAGGCCAGTGTAATTGACTTCACCCATCCTACGAGCATCTTCATCCAGAGTACGAGGTCGACTTCTTGCTGGAGCAACCTCCTGCCTCACTCTTTCCAAATGAAACGGCTGGCAACGGGGCCAATCATCTCAGAAACCGCCACAGGCTCTTGAAAGGGGGGCTCAAGCCCCCCTCGGCCCACACAGAGCAACCAGAGAGTGGGAGCTGAGCATAGGTTTTGGCAGATTCGAACATTGGGAAGACTTGTGGGGAACGGAGAGTTGAACCCAAGTTCGAACATGGAAGTTGAACACAGTGTTCAATCTCCGAGTTTGAACACTGGTTGCTTCGAACACCAGTGTCAACTTCGAGTCGAACACTGGTGTTCGATTTCCCAGTTGGATCCAAAAACGCTTTACGAAGCTGCACGAAATCGCTCCATCGGCTTCGATTTCGGATTCTCTGGTTGCCAGCCCAGGTTCGAAGACTAGTGTTCGAACCCGAACACTGGTCTTTAAAACGCTTTCAAAAACACAAAAAAAATACAAAATCTTTATGGTGGCTAAAGAACAGAAGGAAAGAAGAGAAGACAACGAAAAATCGCTTTACGGGGGCTTCTTTTTTGCAAAGAAAGAAAAAAAAGAGGAACATTCACAGTGTTTCCTGGAAGGCTGGACCTCTGGTGTGTCATTCATTGGATGATTGCAAGTAAGCGTCAGAGTGTCCATACTCACCATCGGACGTGGGTAATCCAATCCATCAGAGGTAGCAGCAGCACGAAGGCGCCACAGTTCGCGGATCGAACTCGCCGCGTCTGGCAGGGATGGTTAGTTTTTTTTCTATCTTGCTGAGGCAGAAAAAAGACATTAGAGGCCCAGAAAAAAATCCACCGGGCCGAAAAAAGACACGGAGGGTCAGTTACAAGCATATGTTGGAGCCGAGAAAAAGACTACAAAAATCGCAGAGTGGAGGTCGAACAAAAGAGCGTAATCTTTTTCTAGACTTTGAAGAGTTCAAACTCCAAGACTCTACGGACGGCGCGTAGGCAGAGGACACCCACCAGCGGAGAGACCATTTGCTCCGAAGAGCACACCACTTCCATGTAGAGGACAGTGGCTTAAATTGACTGGAAGCGCAGATGCATTGTGCGGAGCAGCATTAAGCCTACAGGCCGCAATCATGTACCAAAACAAAAAAGGAGTGCATGTCCTGTACCGGTCGACAGCGGGTCTCTGGGATGCTTTCTCGGCGGTGCCGCTCTACAGTTCCTGCTCAACCCGGCAATGCCTCCCAACTCTCGGAGAGGCCCATGTACAATCACGCAGCATCCAGAGCAGGCGCAGCGTCCAGTGCATTCTAGAGGTCCTTGTAATGCACTCTGGCATTTCGAGAAGGCTTCTAGAAATGGGCGCGGGCGGTAGTGGGTTATTGGATGCAGCGCTCGCCACCATGTCGGTGCACCTGCTGTTTGGTATCGGCCACGCTTGCCAGTGGGCTTTGGAATTCTGGCGCTGGGTGCCCTGGTTGTGACGGAACAAATGGGATCAGGCGGCTCATGACTGTATGTGATCGCTGCCCCCCTGTGGAAGCCGTTGCGACCGACGACATGCGTCGTTGAGTCTATTTTCACTCTCCATGTCACTCATGCCTCGATACCTTGTTGATGCACCATCACCCTGAGCTCGGAGCACGTTCGAGACGGGAGGGTGCGTGCTCCTTAGCTTCGCCGCCTGCGACATGCGTCGCTCGCTCCTTCACCTGTCCATCGTGTTTGTTTCCACCTCCGAATGGTGTCTTCAATTGCCATGGCCGCCACAACAGGTTGAAGATGCTGTGGAATCGTGTGACCTGCACGTCAATGTCCACCTTGACGATCTCTGCCTGTCTTAGCGGCTGACCCAGTGTCCAGCTCACGGCGAGCGACATTGATTTGATTCTGCTGGCGGCGGCGGCCATGTGCACTTAAGTGTCGTGGTCGAGCAACTTTCTCACTGGTAGGACTCCGGCAGGATGTTTGTGTGGGTGTGCCCACACTGGTTGCCACAGTGTTGCTTCAGAGCGCCTTCTTGGCGCTTGGCTCGCCTAGGGTCGATGACGGCGGTTGCATGAGGGTTGCTTGCCTGCGGCACTGGTCTTCGCACTCCTTATCCGGAAGCCGCCCACGCTGCAGTGGACCATGGACTTTTGGATTTTGGTGTGCACGATCGTGACGGAACAAAACACAGGGGTTGTCCGTTGTCTGGCAAGACTAGAACGGCAACCGGAGCCTGGACTTGGCTCCACCTGTTGTTTTGGGCAGCTCTGAGCGACGGCTCTTTGTTGCTCCTGACCGGTCGCTGAGGCTCCGTAGTTTGTGCTGAACGGCTAACACCGGCAAAGCATGTGCGCCGCAGCCCTTTGTAGAGCTTCGCTTTGCTGTTTCACTGCTTTGTTGTAGTTTGTTGCTTGGTTTTTAGTTTCGCTTGTTTGTGACCGAGTGCTACAGCCGTAGTCGACGAGGCCCAGTCAAGCC